TGCTGTTCTCCTCCTTCAGCCTCTCGTTCTCCTATCAAACCCACGTCAGACTCCAGCTGCAGCGATCACCTCTCCCCACCTGCCGCAGCTGAGACAGCACGTCCTCCTCTCTCGCCCGGAGCTTTTCTATCCCCGCAACCTCCCATCCTTCGTGTCCGTTCCTGGAGGAAGTGAATCAAACGTGATGCCCGGGGCGTCGAAGAGCTGAAAACATTCTCGAGGACGAGCGGCACTTGATGCAGACGAATTCTGATGGGAAGGAGACAGCCTGTGATGCAGTCAGATAGGATTGGTTTCTTGCAAGAATACAGTTACTATCAGCACCAGCAACACCGTGAGGGAAAAGAACACAAACAGGGGACAGGATTAAGAACCAAGTGATTATCATCATCAAGAACTTGATCAACATGATCGACAACAACAACAGTAACATGATCACGATCATCATCAACTTCATCTGTGATACAAACATCAACATCACCTCTCCGTCATGGTGACTTGTCTTGCCGGCGCGTGAGAAACCTTGCATGCACATCAACGAGCAACTGCAACTCTAGAGCTTCAAGAAACCTCTCACACCATCCTGCCAAGACAAGACAAGGACATGAGATCAATCGTCATGTACAACAACAACCAACCTCTGCTGCCTCCTCCCTTCCAGCGCTCCTGTCGACCTGGCCTTCCAGTTTACACGCGGCAGCTTTTCCTCCCTCTAATCCTCGCATTTCCTCCTCACCTTTGGTAGTCCGCTTGGAATCGTTCTCCTCCTTGCGGAGGGCCCTTTCCTGTCCGACAAGTCCGTCGCATCCTGCTCCTGCTCCTGCTGCTCCTGCTCCTGCTGCTCCTGCTCCTGCTTGCCATTCCTCTCTTCGTCCCCCTTCGCTTTTCTACGGCTCATGAGAACGGGATGGGAAGGAAACAGAGCTGCTCTCGTCGAAAGACCCTCTTGCCTTCTGTTCACTTCCTCCCGCATGGACTCCGGCGAGTTCGAGTCGGAGGAGGCAGGAGTCTTCTGCATGGCGATGGCTGAAATTTCGCCCAAGGTGCATCCGAGGTCAGCCCGGCTCTGATTCACCTCAGGCAGGCTGCTCTGGTCCATTGGCTGGGGGTGACCAAACAGATCCTCCTCCTCCTTCCTCCCCTCCTCTTTCCTCCCCTCCTCCTTACTCCCCAGGACACTCCTTTCATTCTGATCATCGTTCACGACAGCATTCTCTTGCCCCCTGCTGCTGCGAGAATTTCTTCCCCGGAAAGGATTCGGAAACCATCCTCCAAGGAAAGTATGAAGCCCCTTGCGAGAAGAGCTGTCGTCCGGACCCGCATCCCTCTCCTCAAGGCCCTTGCCCACCCTCTCCTCCCCTTCAGCTTCCAACCCCAGCTCCTCCTGCGACATCCTCTCCTCCTGAGCCTCTCCATCATCCTTAGGAGAAACCGACCGACGGAGCTCAAGGGGGACGAGCGAGTCTACTTTGCTCTTCTTGTCCTCCAGTTCAGCCATTTCCCGAGCCACCCTTCCCATTTCCCGTCGAGCATTCAGATTCCATCCTTCCTCTACCATCTCCTGCTCCTCCTCATATCGTCTTTCCCCGGCTCCCTCCAGCAGCCTCTCCGGCAGCTTCGTCGGAGCTTCCCTCGGGCTCATCGATCGCCTGCCGCCTCCTGCTCCTCCGGCTCTTGCCTCTGGATCCCCGCCCCCAGCTGCCTGCCGGCTTCGCATCTCCCTGTATGAGCGCTCCTGCAGCCGGAGCCTCTCCTCCTCGTCTTGCTCCTCTGACCTCCTCCTTTCCTCTCTCTCCGGCAGCTTCGTCGGAGCTTCCCTCGGGCTCATCGATCGCCTGCCGCCTCCTGCTCCTCCGGCCTTTGGACTCGTTGGTGGCTTTCTCGATTGAACAGCCGTGTGCAACGCCCTGCTCCCAGACGGCAGAGGAGAATTCCCATCACCAGGGCTTGCTGTGTCTCTCGTCTTGTTCACTCGTTGTGACTCGTTCTGCGCCTCTTCCTCCCCAAACCTCGAGGATGTCTGACCCCTATTGCTCCTCGTAGAGGCCGCCCACTTGTCTTCCCGGTTCGTTTCACCCCGATGTTTCCGGGGCTTGAGGTAGTTGTCGATGCTATCAACGTCGTGATCCGGTTGAGCCCGTCCTTGACTGTCGGGCGATGTGCTAGGCTGACGGGCCTTGTAAGAGTTTATCCCTGCCGTCCTCTTCCCAGAATCTTTCCATCGCTCATCTTCCTCAGGCGAATCGTCCAAATGCCTGGTCAAATGCTCCTCCATCGCGTCTTCCCGTTTCTTCCCCGAGTTGGAAAGCATGCTGGTGGAAAGAGGAGGCGGCATGCCGGGGCTCATCGAGCTTCTGATCGTTGAAATCTTTTCACGCATGGCCTGCGCGCGCCGCTTCGTCTCTTGTATCTTAGCGTATGCTGCTTTCTTCTCCTGCTCTCGTCGAGCAGTGCGATCAGCTCGCGCGTCAGCATGCCCTTTGAGGGCGTCACTCCTCTCTTCTTCGTCGCTAGTAAGACTCTTCCCTGACTTCCATAACTGCATCTCATACTGCAACCTCCGTATGGTCTCCGTGGCATTTTCATATCGGAGTGCTTCGCCAAGATCGCCAGAGTATCGATTGGAAATCGAGGAATGGTTCCCGTCTTCTTCAGAATCGCCCTGATAGAGTTTGGGCATGATGGTCTCACCTCTTTCACTATCTCACATCTGAAGACTGCTGCGTTTCAATCCAACAGCTCCCTGATGATCAGGTCATTTGGCGGTTGATAAAAGACTATGCTGGAAATCATTCTTGTCTTTTGAAGCATTGCATGACTTGCGAAAATCTCACATATCTGGAATCCCTTACTTCATCGAATCATCATCCACGACCTTTTCTTATCACACTCTTGCCTCCACAAAGTCACCATGCAACAGACGATTCGAAGCCTCTCATCCATTCTACTACTTGCTGCACCGTCCCTGTTTCTATGCCTAGTTTCATGTAATCTCAGTGTAAAGCCTTCTCTTCCTCCCTCCCCCCGTCTCTCCCCCTCTCCCTCCCCCCTTCCTCTCCCTCCCCTCTCCCTCCCTCTCCCTCCCTCTTCTCTTCTTCCGCGCTCCGCGCTCATCGCCGATGGATGAATCTTGGAGTCAAAATTCGAGGAGAAAAGCCCCACCCCCCCTCACTACTTCCAGATGTACCCCACCACCTAACCAAAACTCCTTTAAACCATGCTGCAATGACCCCTACCCAGATAACATCTCTCGGGCAATTAAAGTTTTGAGTGGGAAAAAGATTTTCAGCAGAAATCTTCGGGTAGGTTAAGCATATTAAAACGAGGCCGAAAACAACCGGTCATATTGAGGTCTATACTACGCGTGCGAAACCAACCGTTTCGTTTCACAATCAAAGGACCACCCATCACTTGGATGTAAATTGAGAGGGTGGTATAAAAGTATAGTATATTCTGACAACATACAAATAGATATAAACATCCCAATACCTCATACCCTGTAGTAAAATCTCAGTACATGGGTGGGTCCAAAACGCCAAGCAGAGAGGGGTGGAGAAAAAAGTCCCACATCCCCTCTTTGACCGGGCCCATCCGGGGTGTCCGGGGAGTCAGCCCCGAAAGCCTACACCTACTCCGCCCTCCTGCCTGACGACTAGTATCCTGCCCCGAAACCGGGCTGAGCCTACTCCGCCTCCTGCCTGACGGCTATCCAGGCTGCTCCGCCTCCTGCCTGTCGACTATCCTGACCCGACAGCCTGCTCCGCCGCTCCTGCCTGACGACTATCCTGACCCGACAGCCTGCTCCGCCTACTATCCTGACCCGACAGTCTGCTCCGCCTCCCGCCTGACGACTATCCTGCCTCGACAGCCTGCTCCGCCTCCTGCCTGACGACTATCCTGACCCGACAGCCTGCTCAGCGGCTCCGCCTCCTGCCTGACGACTATCCTGACCCGACAGTCTGCTCCGCCTCCTGCCTGACGACTATCCTCCGCCTCCTGCCTGACGACTATCCTGACCCGGCAGCCTGCTCCGCCTCCTGCCTGACGACTATACTGCCCCGACAGCCTGCTCCGCCTCCTGCCTGACGACTATCCTGACCCGACAGTCTGCTCCGCCTCCTGCCTGACGACTATCCTGACCCGACAGTCTGCTCCGCCTCCTGCCTGACGCCTATCCTGCCCCGACAGCCTGCTCCGCCTCCTGCCTGACGGCTATCCTGCCCCGACAGCCTGCTCCGCCTCCTGCCTGACGGCTATCCTGCCCCGACAGCCTGCTCCGCCTCCTGCCTGACGACTATACTGCCCCGACAGCCTGCTCCGCCTCCTGCCTGACGGCTATCCTGCCCCGACAGCCTGCTCCGCCTCCTGCCTGACGACTATCCTGACCCGACAGCCTGCTCCGCCTCCTGCCTGACGACTATCCTGACCCGACAGCCTGCTCCGCCTCCTGCCTGACGACTATCCTGACCCGACAGCCTGCTCCGCCTCCTGCCTGACGACTATCCTGACCCGACAGTCTGCTCCGCCTCCCGCCTGACGACTATACTGCCCCGACAGCCTGCTCCGCCTCCCGCCTGACGACTATCCTGCCCCGACAGCCTGCTCCGCCTCCTGCCTGACGACTATCCTCCGCCTCCTGCCTGACGACTATGCTGCCCTTCTCATACAGGTTTATTGTTTATACATCACAGCCTTCACAACATGTTCTCAACAATGCTGCTGTTTGTGATCTGATCGCCGGGATGATGCGGTGTGAAAAGCTTTTGAGGTGTATACCTTGCGCGATACAGTCCGCGTAGCAGCATACAAACATGCCGCATGACTCACTGTCCTGTTGCTGTGGGAAGGCATCGACCGTTGCAACTTCAAAAGACCAATTGCATAATTTGGTGAGCGTTTCCTTGTAGCCTTTTTCACGCCATTCCATTGGCAGGAACGCTGTTGTGTAGATGGTTAGAATAACACTTATGGGAAGCAACAATGCGTACCGCAGAGAGGTCGCTTCCAGTGCTCTTCGTCCTGTTCATGCATGCACATGGGGTCATACATCCTGATGGTTCATACATCAGAGCGCAACTCCACCTCTCCATCGTCATGGGAAGCCTTACGTCATCTTTCGATGTGGGAGGTCAATCACTACCAATGTCCAATGTTGCGCTTCACGCGAGAATTGGGATGATTGTGTAGCTTGAACAATGTTCGTTGGTTGGTGATGTGATGTTTTTGTTTCAGACTTGCCCCCACGTCTGCGCTTCTTCGCATCGCAAGTGCGTTTGTTATGCCCCCGGCACTTGCAGATACTACATTGCTTCTTCGAACGGCCATTCACATTGTATTGCGTATCAAGACAATTTCCAGGTTCTGTGTCATTGTCATAACTGTAATCGTCCATTTCATCCATACTCTCGGGTTCTGACTCTGGCCGAGTAACCCTCCTTTCTCCCCGCCTGGGTTTTTTGCATTTGGGTACATAATCAGGGTCTCCTCTAGATGCCTTCCTGCCTTCCATCTGACCAGGTTTGCAATGTCTGGCCGGGTGATGACGGAATTCGTCATCATCAGCAGGGCTGAAGTCATGAATCAGTGGAATAATACCGACCTTGAAGCCTTCATTATCAGCGATGGCAGCAATCCAGGTATCTGCTAACCAACAGTTCTCGTACTTCGAACATAACTGTCCAGTTTCACACTGGACGCAGTTGACGAGTATTGGCATTGAGCATATCTCGCCTGGGGTGCAAAGGATTAGCAATCATGACCGAGCGAAATGGAAGACATGCACCCAGTGTCGAGGCTCGATTTGGTCAAGGTACTCCCACGCCACTCGATCCATTTTCAACTTCAAGGCGAGCAATATAAATGTTATGCAGTGCAGCGGAGATGCCAGTGCGTTTTTTGAACAACTTCTGAATGACTTCGGCTGTCATACGTCGATGAACACTGCCTCCAATGTCCCTCCTGGACCCTTCGGCGATAATAGAACGGAAAGGTTTGGAATGAACTAGATAACTCGCTCCGGCATTTCCCACGGAAGAGCACAATGTGCTATGGTATAGGGTGCTATCCTCCATATTGATGGTAAACTTATCCTTTTTGTGTTGCTTGCCCCTCTTGACGATGACTGTGTACCTGAGAGAATGCAATGAGAGGAAACGACATGAAAGCAACAAGAATGATGCTCACGGGCATGTAGAGCAGGAGCAGCGCATGATATAGCCGGTCATGCCATGGAGTTTTTTGCTAGGAGTATTCTTGATTTGCTTGTTGTAATCCTTCAAGTTGATATGTTTAAGGAATCTTGTACATTCACGTCGTTTGGAGAACTGCAATCCGCGCAACGTCATGACATGGTCAGATGGAGGTTCCTTGTTGTATGATTCTGATTCAGATGAGGAGACACATTCGTCTTCACTAGTCCAAAAGCAGGAGGGCTCTTCCCCGATTGATATGGATTGATAGTTGTGGCTTGCACAACTATCATCTTCAGGCAAAGATGTGTCCGCTCCGTGAGGAAGCAACGGATCTGAAGGGTCATTCCATGTGTGAGGAAGGGGAGGTGATGATAATGAAGAGGTCGGGGCATCGAAGATGAGGGCATAGAGCCGCTCGACACGCTGGATCAAGGACAATTGTTCGGGGGGTTTCATACCCAAGCAACGAAATCCACGTTCAACAATGACAATGTACGACGCATTGGTAGGGAGGTCGAGCTCCAGCTCTTGTTTCACAGCACGTAGCTTGGCACTCATCCTGAGCCTCCTGGCCTTTGTCGAGCCTTCCTCTGCCTGCATTTCCCGCGCTGGGTACAACTAAATGTAAAATCGAAACGTTTGGTAGCGTTTTGTGCAACTTATTATAAAGCACATAGTATGTAATGTATAAGTAATTATGAAAATTTTAAAGTATCGTGACCTGTCAGCAATCGCCCGAAATCTTTGATTTTTGTTGATTCACCTACCCTTGATCTTTAGAAAACCCCTAAACCTACCTTAGAATTTTTGCTGAAAATCTTTTTCCCACTCAAAACTTTAATTGCCCAACATCTCTAGTGACCACCCCACCCCCTATCAGACATCTTGTCAGTCAACCTCACCCTCATCTCCGACTGCCTCACAGTCAGCCATCCGATGCTAAGGCGGGCCCGATATTGACTAAATTCAAAGTCGTTGGGGTTGAAGGAATGGCGAGGAGGAGCTTGGGAATCAGGTTCGCATCGCAGCGGACAGGAGGAGGTGAAGGCCTGAGGGTCGAAGAAGGTCGTTCATCTTGTGTTGTCTTGGGCGTTGAAGGCAGGAGGAGGACAAGGGGGGAGGAGATGTGGCTTGCCGAGCAGGGTGGGGGATGGGGAAGGGGAAGGGGGACTCGTGAAGCATTCGTACTCACTACATATGTCTACAGTGCTCGAAGGGTTTGATGCTTCTGTGGACGGAAAGTAAGGATCCCGAATAGTTTTAGATGGGTCGACCAGTGACGAGTGTGATTTCCTTGACAGAGTTCGCCGTGGGGACATAGTGATTGCAATCGATGGAGTGAAGATCTCGGAGTTGAGTATGAAGGAGATGACGAATGTAGGATAATGATAGCTGCATCTCTTTGTCTTTTATCATCCTGATATCGAGTTGTCACAGTTGATACTTGGTGAGGAAGGCTCGTGCGCACAGTTGGATGTCCTTAGGAACGAGGACCAACATTCCGTCATACGTGTGGAAGTATTCCGAGGCAACAGCGCTCAGGATCGTGCAGATGAACATCGCGCACATCAAAGTAAAGAGGACGCTAACCGAATCACTAGCCACCGGATATTCGATACAAGTATGAGCAAGGTGGGAGAATTTTTCTTTGACGACTGCGGCTGGCTGAACCCGCACAGTCTTTATCTGATGGAGAACTGCACGAGGCACGAAGATTATTTGAAAGGTTTGTGTCGATCTTCATGGTCGCCTGCATTCTATCGCCTACCCCCCCACCTTTGTTTTCCTCCACGATGACTTTCTCCGATCGCCCTATGCCCATCGTGCTCCTCCCCTATGCATATTTTAGCCCATGCTACCAACAGGGTTCTCACGTCAGGATGCTGCAGGTTCCAGAAGGAGAACCAAAGCTCAAGAATCACATTCGATCAATTCAAGCAGATCTATGCTTACAGGCAGACCGAGAGGGACAAGAAACCGGACACAACAAACATTCCTGTGAACCAGGGCGCACTGTTTAAGAGTGAAGAACAGCTGGAAAATATGCTGACGATGGAACACAAATTAGCAGAAAGAAGACGCAACAATCTCAAGACGGTCTCCAAAGAGAAGCTCTGTCGGTCTTTGTCAAAACTCTATGTTCAAACAAATAGTAGCCAGCAGACAGAGTTGAAAGCAAAATTCCGGCATATGTTGGAAAACGACGATGACAATCACCGCATTAATGACTTCGCCAACTTCGTTTTAGAACTTTTCAATGATCTATCTGATAGAGATTCTCCGGCAAACATCGAGCTTGAAATTGAATTCCGGGCAATTTTTGCAGACTTGCTCTCAGTGCCTTTGGACATCTTTGATTCAGAGCGCTCGGTTCCTCGAAGGCTCCTTCCACACCTGATGAAGTGGAAACGTGCGCAGAACATCGAAATAGCCAAGAAGATTGGACTAGATGAAATCGTTGAAGATGATACGGATGAGCTATCTTACCAAGAAGAACCTGTTTCATCTCATCCCATGTTAGAAAGACTGAGAAACGAGCTGTCAACTTCCAAAGCTCAAAAGTTTTTTGAAAGCATTAGCGCATGTTCATAGTTGTCGCTTAAATCTTCTTGGAATCAATGTTAAAAGATGAAGAAAGAATTACACTTTACTTGGGATGAAACAAAGCTGAACTATGTTAAAGAATAACGTCTACCTCAATACGTATCACTCAACAGGGCAAGAAACGATAAAGTTGGTTGGAACAGATGAACATAACAAAGTAACAAGATGGGAGAAAAACACATTTCATAGCATATGAGTCATCGCGTAGTGCCACATATTTTAAGTTCTCTTGAATAGGGATGAACGATTTCCTGGAAACAAATTACGAGGGAATTCTGGAAGGTGAGAACAAGCACCCATTGCACGCTTGAGAATGGAATCAATGCCGTTGCTCGAATCGATGACGCGCATCCTAGCATCATGCTACAGAAATCCAGTCATGTCAACAAAGATATGTGCCCAGCCCACAGCAATCAAAATTTTCAACCTCCTGATGAGAAGTACGCGGTGGGCCTGACCATGGCTTGAAGATGCTGTCCTTCATTCCGAGTTTGTGCCTCTCATGACTGTTGATTACGTAAGAGAATGAAAAAAAGTATTGACATAATCTCATCGCAGTGAAGTACACAACATGGGGTATCATGCACACAGAGGACACAAGCTCATGTAAAAGCACATGATTGGTTTGTGAGAAACGTAATCCATCAGCATCGTGTGGGCATGAATGAATGCCCAAATATCACTTTTGTCGTCAATTTGTCGGGAAACTTATAATCATCTCATTCCGATAAACGTATACTTGCTTCAAGAATCGTTCAGACGAAACAGGAACTTAAAAATCAACACAAATTAAACACTCGAACCACCACTTTGCAATTTCCATCTTCAAACCCATCCCATTGTATGACATCTGACAGGTGCGGAACATCAACTTGCGAGATTCTAAACCAACCAACAACCTCCAACAACGAAACGCAGATCTACAGGCAAGATTTCTACAGGACCGCATTATCTTCAGCAATGTTCGTGCAAGCATTCGTCGATCTCTTCACCTCAGTTCCGCGTCTCCCCTGATGAACATGTTGGCTCCGAAAAGGCTCGACAGCATCATGAAACGCTATTTCTGCCAATACCACCCCACCCCCGTCTTACATCCTAAAATCACCCCTAGAAGTCACTGGTACCCACCCTGAGTTCTTCCCTGAGAGGACCTGCAGTTGCCCCTTCGCTTGAGACTTGAGTAAACATTTTCCACTAGTCTCACCCCTCCTTTTTCCCTCTCTCTTCAGTATTCGAGGGGGTGGGGTTAAACCATTAGTTCCATCAGAGGCAGCATTGGCATGTACGGTGATATATGAAAGTGCCCCCATTAAACTTTCTAAATAAGCATGAGGCGGACTCGTCTCTAAAACATTTCTAGAATGATGCTTTTTTACTCAACACCAACCCGAAATAGAGCGAGAACTCCGCATGGCGGGGAGCAGGGAGGAGGCGAAGAGAGCCTGAGATATCAGCCTCCTCTCCGCGTGTGGACACTTCCTTGTCACTTCAAGCTCGCTCTTGTTGAGTTCAGTCTGCCTTCACTTCACTGAAGGAGGAGGACGGCGGGCTGAAGCGCGAGAAGAAGGGACCTCCTCTCCTCTGGTCCTGTCCAGAGCTTTTCCGTCGAGGTCTCTCGCAACTAAGTGTTTGAGCTTCAGTTACATGATCAAGATCGAGAAGTCTTGACAGGATTAGCGAACTGAGACTTGCAAGCTCCCATCTTGCATCAGCTGGAACGAACGAACATGACGGACTCAGGCCATTCGGCACATGCTAGATCGGCGTTGGACGTAGATGAGACAACGGCATCAACGAGTGATGATTTCTCTCCTAGACCACTTTCGAGTCGTTTGGTATGGTCTCGATCAAGGGAACGAAAACACCTCTCATACGTTAATCTGGGTGTAATTCTGACCCTGGGGTCAATATTTTTGTATACCATGGTTGCAGATCTTGTCAGGGATGGTCATGCAAACTATGAATCTATGACCGTGTCCAAAGAAGCATTCAAGAAAGCTGTAAGGTCTATCTCTGGATTGCATTCTGCAAAACAAGGCAAAGAGCAGCTCGCAGTGTCCCTGAGAAAGAGTTTGCCAAATTACAGAAAGCCCAGGGTGATATCCGTCAAGTCGTCGTCATCTATCATGCGAGCTTCGGGCGGAGATCCTCTTACTATCTATGGCAAAAATTTGGGAGACTTTGACGCAGACGTGTCTGTCCGGATAGGCAACACCGTTGCAGAATCTACTCAGTGGGTAGACGAGAGAACTCTCGTTGTGAGGACCCCTGCAGGGGTTGGGAAGGATCTAGATGTGACCGTCACCGTGAGTGAGCCTGCATTTATTCCTGCAGTTGCAGTTGGAAAGCAGATGTTCCGGTATTCGGCTCCTTTTGTCTTCGACGTTGAGCCCTTCATTGTTGGAGAACCGATCTACGGGCCAATGGATCTCAACATTCGAGTGTGGGGGGTTGGGAACTGGGACACTAAGCCGGAAGCCCAGATAAACGGCCAGGCATGTGGAAAGACTACTTGGATCGACAATTCCACTGTTCGTTGTACAACAGTTGCAGGATCGAAGCTCACGTTGCAAAATCCTGAAGTGAAGGTAGGGGGGCAACGAAGCAGATGTGGAATCATCTCTCCGGGGGTTTGTACTTTGAGCTTGGACCATGCGAGTGCAGCGTCTGTTGGGAAGATTGAAAAGGACATCGAGGAGATGAGGGCCAGAGGAGTCAGCACAAAAGCAGCATGGAAGCAACTCAGGAATGCCAAGCAGATGAATTCATATTGGGCAGACAGGAATTCCGACGATAATCCTTGCAACAATTTGCCACATTGTCGTCACTACACTTTCTTTTCTGCCATATTAAGTGCAATTTTGATGATGTTTGGTATGGCTTCAATATGCCTTGTCTTATACGGTGAGATTGTCGATCTTTTTGACTCTTTCTTCACGGAGTTCTGCTCATCTACAGCACTGACTTGTTATGTGCAGTGATACCACAGATCGTGATGTGGTTGAAGACTGAGCTTCTTGGCCCAGAGGTGAGGATGTTTTCTGACATCTGACATCTCACTGATTCTGTAGCTCGAGCTCGACGAGAACGACCCCAAGAACTACGAGGCACTGAGGGAAATGGAGTTCGACTCTCGAATTCGTCTACGGTAACATATTCTTTAGATCAAGTCTCGTAGTGGGGTGCAACATGCATCAGGGAGTGGGAGGTTGCAAGTGAGAGGTCAGGAAGAAAAGTGATGACTTCTCTCGCTCAGAAGGCCAGAGGATGGGAAGTTTCACGAGGTCTTGAGGTGTAAATGTATTTATTTGAAGAAAAGAAACATCAAACTGAGATTGATCATGGCACTCACGACACTGATAAGCATAGGGCAGTTATTCTCGCCTCGCCGCGTTCTTCGAGTAATGCCTCACTCAGTCAGGCCGCCCGCCCGGGCCCCCGGCCGCTCACTGTTTCAGCCCAGCCTGCTGGTGACACCGGGGCAGGTCTGCCACTTATAATATCCGTTACAATTGCAACGGGCAGACGCGCCACTTCGATGCAGATTTCCTGGAGCGAAGTTGCGGGTTTGTGAAGAGGGCAGTGGGAGGGCAGGAAACAAGGAGCGAGCGAGAGAGATCAACACATGGGAAGAGCGTCGAGAGGACAAGAGCAAGGGCAACGGTGAGCACAGAGAGCGAGGGTACAGAGCTGCATGAGAAGTTGAAAGTGATGTTCTGATTGACGTGCGAAACTCGATCGTAAGACAGCAGGTGTGAAGGCGTCTTGGTGCTCGTCGGATAATCTTCTTTTTCCCCTACACTGTACCATGTGGAATAGATCAAAGAGGAGCGGCTTCATTGCGTGCACTCTCATCTCTTTGTTGTACGTTCTCCTTCTCCTCTCCTCGAATCAGCCGCCCAACCAAGACGCGCTCCTAGACCATCCTGTACCAGCAACGAAGACGCGAACATCGAGCTCTGTGCGTTCTAAGGAAGATTCGATTGAGGAGATGTTCGAGCAGGCGTTTCAAAGGGGATTGAAAGGACGTTCGTCCGTGATACACATCTCGACACCAATCGAGACGTGGGATACAAGCGAGGTCGGGAAGCACGGGATAGATCTTAAGATGGCGCAGCAGCTCAAAGCGAGGAGGGTTTGGTTGTCAAAACAAGAAAAAGCCTTGAAGACTGAAATGGAAAAGGATCCGAATGCCATCACACGTCTCAAAGCAATGGGTGGAAAGTTTGCCAAGCGGATTGATTTCATACTGGCTATTCTCAACAAGAAGATGGAAGCTGCAAAGGAAGCAGAGATGAAGCAGAAGCGCGTAGCTTCTCTGAAGAAATCATCGTTGCACCGTTTGAAGCACGCGAAGTCTGTGTTCTCTCTCTTTCTCTCCCCCCCCCTTCCCTTCGTTGTCTCTCGCTCGCTCGTTTTCTCGTCGGCTAACTTGTGTCTTGTGCATTTTCTAACTCTCCATGCGTAGATGGGAGCGTGAACTGCGGAAGCTGGATGACATCATTGTGAACTCTGGGTGATGATAGCCGCTGAGCATTGCTTGTGATTTCTGTGCTGACCTGGTATGATGGCAGAGGATCATATGACACTTTGAGGAAGGGCGAAGGATTCTCTAGTGATGTAAGCTCTCACGAACATTCTTTATTGCTCAACCTCCTTGTTGTGCTTGACTCTTCTCCCTCAGGCGTCCCTTCAAAGCGAGGCCAAGTACGAGAATGCTCTTAGAAGCGCTTTCGGAGCGAAGCCTGTTTTCCCGTCATGAAAGACCTATTCATATTGTGATCGTTCACAATACACAGACTGCGAATGTGACTGCCCTTGTATCTGATGCTTCGTTGCTCCCATGCGCTCTCGTCATGCTCTCTTCAGTAACGGAGCTCCCCACCCTTGCCATCGCGCAGCGAAAATTATGATAACCCTGTAGGTCCATATAGAGTACATAAAATGCAGTAGGGAGGGAGATGGGGAGCGATGGCAGAGGGCAGCGAGCGAGAGAGAGAGAGGGAAGCAGGGAGGTCAAGAGGAGGAAGCAGACGTTCAAGCTCGTGCTGGCCGACATGAGCTGACATAGCATGACGATCAAGCACTCCAACAAGTATTGAGATCCTCGAAAATTGGCTCTATCGAAACGCAGCAGAACCATGCGACCCATGAACGGAGAAACAAGCAGCAGGAGGCTGATGGGATCTCAGAGCACCAACAGAGAGTTGGAGGATGTCAAGAAAAGAAATCTTGAGATCTTGCTCTCCATGACGTGTAACGACCCTGCGAAAGCGCAGCAGCCCAGGTCAGGTGAAGGTGATGAAGCGGCAGGAAAACGCGCGGAAGGTCCACTCAGACGAGATTCCTTCTCTTTCCTGCCTCGATCTTTCACTGCTTGGCGTCAACTCACAATAGAGAAAGGACGACTTCGACTGCGTACAATGCACTTTGAGCGAAAAAGGTCAAAAAGATTACAGATGAGTTTGCTTTACCTCTGGATAGACGAGACGAGAAAGCAAGCTCATGTTGTCAGCGTCGGTACCCGTATCCTGCTGAGATATGAAACTTTGCTCAAGATGCGGTCATTGTCCTGGTACAAGCTGAGTGTGATGAAAAGAAAACAAACCCATTCATCCTACCTGAATCAAAAACTTCTAATAAGCTGCCTGTCACTTGAAAGAGTCTACAATTGCTATCCAGCGGCAAACTTGAATACAGCCTCTATGACTAGCCTCACAACTGCGACGAAACAGACACAAATTGCCTTCAATGGGTGGAAGACGTTGAGACAGCAAAGACAGAGATTGATCATGAAATTCTGCAATGTTCGCCTAAAACGCTTAAGAACCATGATGAGCTCTTGGTCTCGTGCGATTGAAGGTGATGTCTCGACTGATCAAATCAATTGGTTCATCAAGAGATTTGAAAGAACGCGACTGAGCCGTGCTTACATTGCCTGGAAAGATGATAGCTTTGTTTGTTACAGACAGGACTTGTGGAGTTCTTACATGCTAAGATTCCAAAATCGTCGTTTGTGTAAAGAACTTCTTGCGTCCTGGCGGCGATACATTGATCAAGTCATATACCTGCATTTGTCTCTGCAGTTGAAATTTGCCCCAAGAATTCTTAGGAATGCATTCGACCATCTTCTTGATTTTTGTTTCTTCAAGAGATTATCGTTGACAGCAGCGCAAAATTACACGAAGAAGTTAATGGTGATGGTTTTCAAAGTATGGAAGATTGTGCAAACACGTCACCTGCATGTCGTATCCAAAAAGCCACACCCAAAAATGTTGCAGCAAAACTTTCTCTTCTGGTTGGGGCGAATCAAATTTCTCAAACGTTCCTTTCGAGTGGTCATCATGCTCCGCAAACGGACGTTGAAAGTGTTTCACAGCTACATGTCGAGGTTCGCAAAAAGAAAAAGAGAACTTAGAAGGAAGCTTGAAAGATCACGAGCACAGGCAAGAAGGCAAGCGATGTCTCAATCGTTCGACATCTGGTCTACGACTCTTGCAGATCGGGATCTCAGAGCAAAAGAAAAGCTTTGGAATGATCTGAAGTCAACGAGAGATCAATTCTTCAACTCATCCCATGAAAGAACAAACCATGCAGCCGGGCTCTTCTCCTCCATCGACACTATGATGGGTTTCTTCATCACAGCTTGTCCTGATTGTTTGAGGCAGGAGCATATGAAGGCGTTTGAGGCCCTCGTTGGGTCAGTCAGCAAAGTTTTGAGCCAGTCAGAACGTATGCTGCCAGGTATCAACAATTGTAGAGATGAACGGACGAGGCCAGAGAAGGAAGAAGCGTGTCTGCATGACATGCATGAGAACATTGAGCCTGTGACGGCTGTCGAGGATTCAAGCATGAATTCCTTCTATTCTTCTATCGAGCGCAAATCCCCATCCTTTGAGGTGAAACATGCTGTAGAATGTTCAAGTGACTAACCATCTGCACAGAATGTTCTGGAATACACGGAGATGCACACTGCAATCGAGCCAGCAGATGACAGCAAAACTCTGATCGCTGCTACACTGCAAGAGTGCAAAGATATCATCGAGTCATTCGATACGGAGATTGTCAACGCTCTGTCCTTCTTTGACAGAAGTTTTGACGTCGTTGAGGTCTCGGAAGAAGGATCAGCAGAATCTCAGCTGATCACCGCAAAGCTGTACCTCGACAAGAAAGATTGGAGACGGGATGCAACCTTCTTGCTAGACAGCATCGTTGTTGACATCGCAAGAGCTCTGAATGGGAGGAGGGAAGGGGTGAAGGCTCGCTTTCTTGAGGATGAAGACCCTTGCATCGAGGTTCAAGTCTTTCCTCAGTTCTGTCGGGATGGAAGGAATGTACATCAGATTCTCAAGGAACTTGAGCGGCAAATCCACCTGGCAGACTCTCCTTTGAAGCACGGGTTCTACACCTCCAGAGTGAAGAGCATCACTGTACAGAGAAAGACGAACGGAGGTGAGAAGAGAGAGAGCTCTCTGATTGAGCTCGATCACGCGAAGAAGAAAGTGTCGTCGACTTTGATCAAGGTCAAGACCTTCATCGCTCTCGTGAGGTATCAGACGCTCAAGGTCAGCCTTCCTTGAGAGCTGACTTGATGTGCAGGTCGTTTGTACAGAACTCCAAAGACGAGCTGAATAACTCTAGGGAAGAAAACATTCATCTGCAGCAGAAGCTGAAAGATCGACACAACCTCATACAGGAGCTGTCAAGGCGGTGCGACTACATCGAGACTTCGAACCGCGAGCTGATGCTGAGACTCAGGGAAGCTCACGCCCATTCAGAGCTGCTGCAAAGAAAAGTCACCTCAGGGCCGCAGGTCTCTTGGAGGCCCAACAACTACTGGAGGCAACTTGTTCAGAACATGCTTGCAGAGGCCGAGGCCGCTAGTCTCGAGTGCATGGAGATCTCCTCGCGACTGAACGCCTTCTTCAACAAGTTGGATAGCGCCGACATGCTGAAGCTAAAGTCCCCAAAAGACAAGCACGCTCGAGCAAATTCAGCCTGCCTGCAAAATGATCTCATTGAATCAAAGATCGAATATCACGTGCTCAAAAACAAATACGTCAAACAGAAAGAAATCTCCAACTATCTCCTTTATCAGTTGCAGATCTACAAATCTAAAGAGCTGGTGGGGAAGGAGCTGAATCAGCCTAGTCCTTCAGCTGCTGTGCAGGACAAGGACGCGTTGCTGGCTCAGATATCTCCTCAAGACGTCACTCTCGAGCCTGACTTGATGTCGCAGAGAGGTTCTGGAGACGATGACGTGTCAGAGAGATTTGAGCAGATTTCATTCCAGGAACAAGGGGATCAGCAGATGATTGAGGTCGCAAATGTCAGCAGCAAAGCAGAGAGTCTGTCAGATCTCAGGGAGCGTATGAGTATAATGCAGCACAATTACCAGCAAACCATTATTGAACTGGAGGAAAGTAAGAATCAAGATAAACAGATTCAGAGCAAACTGTTGAGAAACCTGATGAAGTTCAGAAAGCGCGAAAGTCAGATAGGAAAGATGATAATGTTGAGGGCAAAGCGAGTCCTCACAGACAAACTTGACGATCTGTTCAGACGAAACAACAAGAACGACATGGTTGATATGGTGTTCAGCATGTGGAGGTCTCTCCTTGATCACCTTGATGGTGGTGCAGGAGTCGAAAAGATGAAACTGATGAACCCAGAGCTCTTCATATCCAAGGACTCCCCGTTCCGAGTCAAATCTGTCAGATACAGTGAAGACGAAGTGCATGACTGGACTGCTCTCAACGACGAGACCAGGCTGGTTCAACCAGGAGACATCTTGCTGTCTGTCAATTCTGTTGAGATTGGACGCAATTCAATTCATTCAGTGAGGACTCTGGTAGATGAAAGTCCAGGAGTTCTCGTCGACCTTGAATTCTTCTCACAGCGGCACAATCAAACGTTTCTGGTGAGGTAAATCATTCCTTCAACGTCTTCCTGACCTCAGATTCGCAGATCAAAGCATTCAAGTTCTGTGAGAATGAGTTGTATGAAAGTTTTACTATAGCATGATCATGTAATAAATAGAGTGTTCTGACATTCAGACTTGGTTTTCTTCGTACTTTTGTATACTCCTCAGCCTCCTTGTTTCACATACATGTCTTGTGTATTCGGTGTCCTAAACAGAATGCTTTCAAACATTGCGGCTTCCAAGAGGAAAACATACCCGTACTTCCCAGCATCGATTCTTGTGCATCCACGAATACACAATTCCAATCACAAAGCAGATGAATATCAAGAATCCAGCGCTTGCTGGAAGTGCACCAGAGCTGATGGGGACATATCTGAAGCAAAAATCAATATGATAGTTCTGAGAATGACGCATTTGCAACATACTTTTGCAGTAGCAAAAGAACTTTCTCATTGATTGTTCCATCCACATGCAGAAAATTGTCGCGAAAAACTTCTTCTTTCACAGGGTCTCCTGGCCTGAGGGATGCCAAGAGAAATGTCAGTCCGTGCTACTCTGATGAAACAAGCAAGGGTATGCAACACCAAACACTTTACCTGTATATGTCAGGCATGTGATCCAGCGATGAAAGCAGGGCTTGAGATGATTTCATCGGCGAACCAGCGTCAACAGCAACAAGGATGCTAAAGACAAAAGTTAGCGGACACTCTCAACTTGCATCATTCGAGAGGATAATTTCTCTGTCCACTTCTCATCTTCTTCGTCCAACGCTCTCGTCGATCCCCCATCAACTTCACTCACCATAGGAGGATCGCTGGTACCGCCTCCATAATGCCCCCCATGCTATTTCCGGAGCCTGGTGAGGGAGCCTGGAGGGGGCCTGGGGCCTACTAGATTGCGCGGGGATGAGGGCCACGGCACCTGGATAAGGTTGCGATGACCATGGCAGGGCTGGAGCGTCATGTGCTCCTGGGGGGTGAGAGGAGGAACGCTGAGGAACAGGAGGAGGCACAGGGAGCAAGGATACAGGGCTCGAGACCTGACCAAGAGGGATGCGCGGGTCAAGACATGTCAAGTATGATTGCCTGCAGCAACGCTCGTTCACATTCAGAAGGCATTGAGGCTGGACAGAGTAACATAGAGAATCGTGAGAGAAGGATCTCGACAAACCTGGACTCAGGCAAAGATGGCGACAACAGCATGTTGAATGCGATCAAGGGTGCAGAGCAAATCATCCAAGAGCAGAGGAAGAATTTGTCTAGGCTGACCAAGTTGCTGGAATCCAACGTGTCACAACCGAGCCAAGTGCTGAAACGCGATTCTTGCAAAAATCTCCCCATGTTGAACATGAATGTCATCAGATCCGATTCAGATCTGCGACTTAGACGACTGAGCATGGAGAGCGCAGGAAACTGTGATATCACTCCCTCTTACTCCAGCATCTCAGCTAAACTGAGACATCAGAATAGCTCTGAATTTTCGAGTTCTGAGAACACGCCCACTTCAGTCTTCTTTCCCGAGCTTGTCCATGAAACTTGTCCATTGGATGGTGTGGGAATGAGCTGGGAAGAGGCAAGCTACATCCTGGAATCTCGAGACCTCATCGCAGCTGAGCATTCGTCTGCTGAGAATGCAGCACATCTGTTACAAGAGTTTATGAGGCAATGCAGCTTCCTTGCCATCACAGATAGGGCAATAATCACGTATGCAATCAAAACACTACAGTCAGATGAAAAAATTTCCTCTATCCCACAAGGCTTGTTCAGTCCCAATCATGTTCAAGGAAGCCCAACCATGAGGCAGAAATCAGAAACAACATCAGGGGCTGTGCAGAGTGACCAGAGAATTGATTCTGATATTTTGGATGACGCTGAAAGGCAGATGAAAGCTCTTGAGTTGGCTCTTAGTCGTGGCGATTATGACCTCTCTGGCATCCCTGATGAAGAGATCAGGTCAATCTACGACCTCACTCAGCATGAGGTGGGCGCGTTCCGAACTGGAGGGGAAGATGAGCCAATTGATGAAGAAAAGTTCCATGAGCAGCTGACAAACACATGGATGGTGTACACAAGGTTGAAGGATACCATCATGCCGCTGCTGGACAAGTATTCTGACAAGCGCAGCGGGAACCTCAAGCGCAACGGGCTCGCTCTCCTCATGAAGGACCTCATCTTCGATTACGAGCCAAACAGCGAAGACATAGATCGAATTCTCAAAGATGCCAAAATGATCGCAAAGGGTAATGCAGGAAGAGGACAGCTGACCGCCGCGATTGTCGTGTGGTACAAGAACGTGAAGGAACAGAAGGGACTTCTGAAGCGAGACAAGCCCGCTGTATCCGACGATGTGAAAGAATGGATTTTGAGTTTCTTTACCCCATTCAGCGGCACTCCTGTGTTCTCGGCTGAGTCTCGAGGGACAACTCCGCGACCTCGATCTAGCGTCAACACTCCAAAATATTTCTCAGAGAAGCGCGCCGAGCAAACGCTCAGTTTGTCCAAGTTTGATGAGCAGAGTGAGTTGCCGTTTCCTGCACATTGGAGCGAACAAGAGCTCCTACAGCTGAACAAGGTGCTTGCGAACGTGGATGAGTGGGGTTTCAGTCCCTTTGAGCTGGCTCAGGCTTCACATATGCGCCCAATCCAGGCATTAGGATGGCATTTACTATGCAGGTGGAACGTGTTGGAGGAGCTTATGATTGATGAGATGACTATGAGGAATTGGCTGGCGTTCGTGGAGTCAAAGTACAATAGCAATCCATACCACAACGCCATTCATGCATCCGACATCTTGCAGACTGTTCACTTCATGCTCCAGACCTGCAACTTGTGGAGCTACTTGACGCAGAAGCAGATCACCGCTCTCCTCCTTGCAGCTCTCGTGCACGATCTTGGACATGATGGGCTCAACAACAACTACCACAAGAACTCAATCTCTCAGCGAGCGCTCATGTACAATGATCAGAGCATTCAAGAAAATTATCACCTCTTTCTCCTCTTCTCTAGCATGGACACGAACCAAGAAATCGACATCTTCCACAATCTTTCGCAGGAGAACTTTCTGGAGCTGAGGAAGGCGATCATTGATATGGTGCTCTTCACCGACATGTCCAAGCACTTCATGCTGCTCAAGGACCTCAAGGAGACCTGCGAGGCGGACTCGCTCGACGAAAAGCTTCGAGGGTCCAGCGACCTGCTGCTCAAGGCCGTGCTGCACGTTTGCGACATCTCGAACCCCGCAAAGCCACGAGAGCTGGCGATCAGCTGGACAGAGCGATGCATTGAAGAGTTCTTTTCGCAGGGAGATCAAGAAAAATCGTTGGGGCTTCCAGTGTCGCCTCAATGCAACAGGGAAACAACAAGTATTCCCGACTCGCAAATAGGATTCATTGAGTTTGTTGTTCTGCCATCTTTCCAGGTTTTATCTACCGCTCTTCCTACTATCAAGGATGTTTGTTTGCCTAACCTACATAGTAATCTCAACTACTGGAAGGAGAAAAAGGAGGAACTTAATCCAACTCTGTCAAGAAAAAGCAGTGAAAAAAATCAATAAATAGCAATGAATGAATTTTTTTTTGTCCAACAGTTTGAAGCAGGAGATTTGGTTTCTGAACAAATGTGTAGGAAATTCATCATTATACATTAAGGCAACGTACACCATAGATGATCAAAACAACATTCAGAAACATTGTTCGACCTGACATGCAGGAGTCAGACCGCACGGCAACCTGTACAAAAGATTACGACGAGACTTCTCGTCATGTCTCTTTATTCTTTCAATGGAAGAATTGGTTGCAGCAGATTTTAAATGATCAATCAAGGTCATTCTCTCCACATGTGATACTGGGAAAATATGGGTCATTCATTTCTTCAAAAAAGCTTTCAGAGCCTCTTGAAGCGAACATAAATATGAAATTCATAAATACTATTTAGGTTGTACTGAGTCCAACCTGGGACGACGAAGAATCTTCCCGTCTTGAAAAAGTCCCAGCTTTTGGTGTGAGCTCTAGACTCGGTGCAGAAACCGAAAACTAGCCAGTTGTGAGAGCAAAGATGACAAGATTGAACCAGCAGTTTGACAGGTCTGTTACTTGCCGACCCCTGGTTCCTGAAAGAGACTACTAAGTACCGGTGGCTTCCCTGACTGCTGGTAGGACGAGGAGCAGAGGCCTGCGAGAAGCCGCTGAAAGTTCGCACGAGACGGGTCTGCTCGAGCAGCAAGGAGCACTACCCCTCGTCCTTCCCTGAGGCTGTACAAGGATGAGCCTCTTGAGGTAGAAGGGGGCTGCTGTCTGCTGATGTAGGCTAGCATAGACCGTACGTTTGTCAGGCATCGACTGGTTCACTGTAGACATCGCCGCACTTCGCCTCTGAGCGATGCAGCGCTGTCATCGTCAGCAGCCCGACCGTATAGTGAGGCTCCGGGGGCCCGAGGGTGATGGAGAAAGATCGTTAAGCTAAATGGAGAACAGAACAAGTCTGTAAGCTAAGTCTCTTCACACAGGTAAGAACTCTTTCCTGTGGTTCTCGCGTTGTCGTGTTCCCTGTGACCCCTACTTCTCTAGGTACCTCTCATAGTACTTACAACCCGCCCTCGATGAACTCAAACCCCGGTTCCCCTGTCTTCCGAAGCTAAGGGTTCCCTATCTGTATCTGTGAATATCGATGAAGCACACATAGTCCGAGGGCAACTCTCTACTTATCACATCTTGCTCCGAACACCTGTCAGAGTTGTTTGAAGAAGGGCATGCAACGATCGTTGTGATCGTGCAGAGGAACAGGTTGATGTCCTAGCTGACATCACAAGTCTGTCGTGCTCGTCGTGTTGAAGTCAACGCAGCAGTGATAGCTCTCTCTCTCTGACTCCCCAAGGTTGTGTACACCACATCGGGGTTGTGCTACCTGCAGTGGATATGAGATCTGGCGATGGACACAACCGCCTGTCCTAAATCAAAAGTCAATAGTTTAATTCATTTGACAACCACAACGCGAAGAGCTGTTGCTGGCATCAGGCTTGCCGGTATAAAGGGTATTGTTGATACATTCGTGATGTATAAGCTATACATGCTCAGAACTACCAGTACCCTACCAAAACAACCCCCCCCCCCCCCCCCTCCCCTTTCCCTACCCCAAATTGTTCTTACCAGTGTATCGACCACCCCATGGTACCATAAGTTCTTTCATGGTGGCACTAAGGTGGGTAGCTCAAAACGACAAGAAGATGTCAGGTGGGTACTTCAGTACCCCTACCCCTCTCAGTCTAACCGCCCGACCCCGCTCCCGAGCAGGAGGGGCTCGCGTCCTGCTCCTACGCTCTGAGCATGGCGATGAGGAGCCAGCAGGTCACGTGGGATGGCGCCAGCTGCTAGAGCATGATGCTTCCTCGAGACATGCCGGCCGGCAGGGTTGCTCACACCAGGGGCATCACACGGGGTCTCCCGCTCCTAACTGACATACTCCAAGCTGCTAGTATGACACTCTGCTTGTTTCTCTGTGCGTCCTCTCTCTCTCTCATCGCTACCAAACTTAACTTCCCTCCCGGCTGTTTTCCTTCCCCTCTGTGACATTTCCTTGTAGTAAACCTTCTGATTCTGGATCTGCTTCAGCGTCTGATCTGCTCTATCTGCTTTGCTGCTTCTCTTGACTACTTCTCTCATCTCATCTCTGTCTTTCCTATGACTCGTGCTACCATACCTCCCTTCATCGCTCCCTTCTTGTTGGTAGGTAGTCCCATAGCATGTTTCCTTTGTTTTCGCTCTATTGCACTTTGCCTGCTGGTCTGGCTGTCTCGCTCATTTGTTCGGTTCCAGTCTAAACTTTCCAACTTTCGAAACAGTCTAAACTTTCAAAGTTTCGAAAGAACTTTCGAAAGTTGCTGCTCACCTCCTCGCATGTTCGATAGTCTCTGAGTCTTGACCTTCCTCCGTCCTCCTCCTTACCTGTTCTTCTCTTGCAAGTGATCTTTGTATCTTGCCCTCTATCATCTTTCTCTCTGTACCTTCTGCTCTCTCTCATTTACTCACCACGTCTCGTTCTTTGTTTCCCCTCCTTCCCTTCAATCCATGTCTCGTTCTCTTTGTTTTCCCTCGTTTCTTTCAACGGTTTGTCTCTGCTTTATCATTCTCATTGGGAGCACTTGCTGAGGAGCAGCAGCAGGCTCACAAGGCAGAGGAGGAGGAAGGGAACAGTAGATTTGTCAGGGAAGCAAGGAGGAACTGTCAGGTAACGAAGCCAAGGAGAGGTAGGAGGAGGGAGGGAGCAGAGGTACAAGCTGAGCGCGGGCAAAGCAGCAGGAGCAGGTTGTCAGAGCAGTTGAAGGAGAGGAAGGGAGGATGGAGACATAAGGCGAGTGTCCATGCAGACACGAGGACGTGAACGTTCATCAGAACCGTCTAGAGGTGTCTCAGCTGATGAATGCTGCAGGGCTCAGGCTCTAAGAGCTCAACCACAAGGACGAGCAAGACGGAAAGGACAAGAGGCAGTTGGCTTGAGAGAAGACTGTGACAAGAGGAGAGGCTGGTCCTGGCACTGAAGGAGGTACGGAAGGATGAGATGCTTTGGAAGCTTGTCGTCTCGGGTAAGACCGGAGAACAAGCAAGCAGAGGAGGAGCTGGAGACAGCGAGGAAGAAGATCTCAGAGCTCGAAGGGAAGTTGACGAGCTTGACAAGGGAGAATCAGGAAATGACGAAGAGGCCGGATGATGCTGGCGATGGCTCCTACTCGTCCCTCAAGCAGAGCTTAGAGCAGGCGACTAGAAAGATATCCGAGCTCCAGGCGGCACTCCAGCAAGCTACTGTCAAGGACCCGCCTGTGAGCCTTGAAGAGACCAAGCAGAGCATGTCGATCACATCAAGCCAGAGACCTCAGCCACCAGACAAAGCGCAGCCTACAACAGATCCTATCACGTCATGGATACTCACCGATGATACTCGCTCTGCCCTCCGCGAGTACTTGAGCGGCTCTCTAGACCCCAAGCGATCGAAGCTTCTCCGCAACGACCTCCTCGTGACTCTCGGCGTCGACGTCTCGTCTTCACAGCTTCAGTCAAGCACAGACAAGCTCTCGTACGAGAACTTCGAGGCCAGAGTCGCACGAGAGTGGGAGCTCTCTCGCAAGGCCAGCAGCCTCGCCGACATGGACATCGTGCGAGTGCTGGCGGAGTGCATCCCCGGCGGGAGCGCGGAGAGTCCTCTTGCGGGGCTACAGGAGATGACGGAGGTGGCTCTATCGGCTCTATGCGAGACGACGATAGCAGGGAGGCTGGCGGCAGCGCTGAGGAGGCCGGAGAAGGCTCGAGGGCGGGAGGCCGGAGACTATCTGTCCCCACACAACAGCAAGTACGCGATGAACGAGACGCGAGAGGCCGTGTACGGGAAGATCGAGGAGTACTACGGGGGGCTGATAGACCGGATCGGGCTACCGCAGCCGGACCTGATGAAGGCGATAGAGGAGGAGCACTGCAGGGGCGAGGACGCGGAGGAGGCGTTTGTGACGAGCAACTACGGGATCACGACGACATCGAAGGAGGAGTGGCTCAACGTCAGAGACCCCGAGAGGAGGCAGAGGCTGTCGGAGGGGACGCGGATCATCCGAGGGATCGAGGAGCTGATGAAGCATGAGACGGCGATCAAGGCGGGGCTACAGGAGGCGGAGCTGATCGCGCTGCAGCTCTACACAGGTAAGGAAGATAGAAAGCGAGAGGGAAGCATGTAGGAGGAGAGAGAGGAGGATAGAGGATATGCGGTATATGACGAGAGGCTTTGGTTTGACAGGGCCGATGTACCACAAGTACAACTCTGTACTTCGAGCTCCCATGGAGCACCTCCGAGACCCCAGGAAGATCCCCAACAAGTACACGACCACCATCCACTGCATCGTCAGCGGCGTCGTCAAGCTGTCTCGTCACACTCCTCTGCCGGAGGACCGGCGGGTGTGGAGGGGGCTGAACGGGCTGAGGCTGCCGGAGAGCTTCCTGAGCGAGGACGAGCTGGGCGTGTCCGGAGGAGTCGAGTACGGGCTGCTGAGCACGACGACGGACGTCAGGACGGCGATCCAGTACGCCGGGGACGGGGCAGAGCCGATCGTGTTCGAGATGAGCTGCGGGGCGATCGACCGGGGGGCGAGCTTGGGGTTTGTGTCTCAGTATCCGGGGGAGGGGGAGATGCTGTATCCGCCGCTGTCGTACTTGGAGGTGGTGAAGGAGCCGCGGTACAGGGAGGTAGAGGGGAGGCGGGTGAAGGCGCTGGAGCTGAAGATCAACGCGAACACGATGAGCTTGACGATCGAGGACTTTGTAGGGAGGAGGAAGCAGCTGTATGTAGGGCTGATGGAGAACATCGCGAGGGAGGTAGAGCGAGACTTGAGGGGGGAGGAGGGGAGGATCCAGGAGCGGCTCAGGACAGCAACAGACGACTCATATTGGGAGCGCCATCAGGATCTTGTGAGCTCGATCGTGAAGGAGTGCTGGGGTCTGGTGGAGGCGAGCCGGGGGAGGGAGGCGGGCTGGTACAACGATGAGTCAAACTACAAGGAGGCGATCGAGCTGTCGAACCGAGTGAAAGACATGGCGATCAACAAGCTCAGACACTGGATCGAAGATACTCAGGGAGACTGGAAATGTGAAGCCCTTGCGAACGAGCCGATGCAGTCAGTGTACTGGAAGACGATGGCGGGTCTGATGTACAAGATCAGCTCGTGGACTCCAGCAACCGATGATGTCAGACAAGAAGAGAGCAAGAGGCTGTGCGGGATGTACGGCTTGTCGATCTCAAGGTCGGACGAGGACGGGGAGCCGCCGACAGTCACGGCGGTGGTACGAGGACAGGGCGAGCTGATCTCGCTGCTGAAGGCGACCGGATGCGACATGGACGAGCGGATGAAGGACGGGAGGACAGGGCTACATGTAGCAGGGATGCTGGGGAGGGCGGGGAGCGTGAGGGAGCTGATCGAGGCAGGAGCGGAGGTACTAGCGAAGGACAAGGAAGGGAAGACGTTGGTGCACTGGGCGGCAGAGTACGGACATTTGGAGGTACTGAAGACCGTAGAGGAACAATGCGGGAAAGAGGCTCTGAGCACCTTGACGTTGGAGAAGAGCTATGACAGCAGGACATGCGCGCATTTGGCGAGTGAGGGAGGTCACTTGGAGGTGCTGCGGTATGTTGCAGTGACATGCGGGGAGGAGGTGCTGAGGGAGAAGGACAATGACGGCAGGACTTGCTCGCACATGGCGAGCATGGGAGGGGACGTTAGGGTAGTACGGTATGTGGGGAGGACATGCGGGGAGGAGGTGCTGAGGGAGAAGGACAATTACGGCAGGACATGCGCGCACTGGGCGAGTGAGGGAAGTCACTTGGAGGTGCTGCGGTACCTTGCAGAGACATGCGGGGAGGAGCTGCTGAGGGAGATGGCCAATCACGGCATGACATGCGCGCACTGGGCGAGTATAGGAGGGCATCTGGAGGTGCTGCGGTATCTTGCAGAGACATGCGGGGAGGAGGTGCTGAGGGAGAAGACCATTGACGGATGGACATGCTTGACTTGTGCTCGTAAGTGCAGTGACTCAAATGTCAAGGATTATCTTAGATCTTTAGGTATAGACTAAGACTGAACCAACAAGCTGCAGCTATAGCAATCGCTCTCATACCTATCAGAGGCCTAGCACGTGGCGGCGGCGCGAGGGGAGCTGACAGACCGAGTCGCGCGGACGATCAGCTGCGCAGGTGACGCGAGAGAGACAGGACGAGGATCTGGCAAGCACAATAGAGGACTGGATGCGGCTTGAGGCTAGCGGGGAGTACCTTCTACTGGCAGTGTAGGGAAGAGACGGCCATCAAGGCGGGGCTACAGGAGGCGGAGCTGATCGCGCTGCAGCTCTACACAGGTGCATGGAGACAAGCTGCTCGAGCATGCTCGCGCTTGATGACTCAGTTACTAGTAGTGAGTAAACAGTAGTAGTTTGTCTTTGGAGTTGAGGGGTCGGAATGCGGGATCATCAGGGGTAGTTCCAGGAGGAGAATCGGGGGTAGGGGTATTTGGATGCAATCCACTTGTAGGACCCGACTAGTAGGACCCCGTATTAGGTAGGTCCGGGGAGAAGTAAAGAGAGAGTGATTGGGGTGGGTGGTATATCTGAACCACCCACTGAATTCCTATAGATGTTCGATAATTCGGGGGTAGGGGTATGAAGACCCACATGGTGGGTCCGGACCAAATCAGTTTGCGAGAATATCCTGGCCGCAATGTCAGCAAGATGGAGGAGGGAGGAGGAGAGGAGGTAGAAATCAATTCAGAACGAGTCACATGTCACAGCTCTGTGGGTTGACAAGAATTCTTCTCGAACAGGCAGACTCAAAGCACAGGGATCGAGTTAGGAAAGCTGGCTCCCAACTTATACCAACATGTTTCTAGTTTTCGCGCCCCCAAGATCTTTGCAAGCTTAACTCTGTGCATTTCTAACACGCCCCGCAAGATGGCCAAGGGGTTTGGATCAACAAGTGCAGGCATTTTGGAAAAATCTGCCACCTTTGAACTTCCACATGTATGGAAACCAACGTTTGGAAGGATGCCAGAACCTTATAAGAAGCACAGCACCAACAACGATTCAAAGACGAGTGTTAAGAACATTGACCACGAGTTCTACTTCACCCGCAAATCATGGCCATCTCCGACAGCCAAGGAAGAAGCAAACCCAATGACCAGATCAAGAAGCGCAATGGGGCATGCATACGTTCAATTCAGAAAGAGTTTTGAGACAGTTGGGCTGAGGGGAAGATCAGTTGGAACAAGGATTGCGAGGACAAAGAAATCGAGCGAACTCAATGAGGCGAGCAAACGTAGAGTGGGAGGCTCGGTGGACGCGATGAGCCAAATATCCTCTAGTTTCTTCTCTCGGTCTTTCGGCGTGTGGGAGTATCAGGATGAGGTGTACGAGCCAGTAATCCTCCCCGTCGAAGATCCGATGCAAGCAGACGCGAGGTGGTCTAACGTGTCCAGACCAGCTACAAGTCAGAGCAACGCTTCTTCGAGAGCGTCGAGCTTCAATCGAAGGCGAGGTAGGTGCAGAAGTTTTGAAATGCAAGAATGAGATAGTCTCAGAGGCGATCGCTGTAAACGAGCACCCTTTCGAACAAATGCTGAAGGTACATCTTCTTCGTTGTGGGATTCAGGGTTTGTTTACTCTCGTTTCAGGTTGTTCCCTACTACCAAACAGGGACGCTTGTGGGGAGTCAGACAAGGAGAGACACTCAGCAGGTAACTCCCCCTCCTGACTGCTGCTGGTTGACTACAGATGTGCAGCATGTTGCGTCGATGAATCACTCCACTTTATCCAAATCCATCCGACTCAGTGCCAAGGTGGAATTTGACAACCAGCGTTTCAGGAGCCATAAACTCTCCAGGTCACTCGATATATCAGCCTCATTCGACACTGAGGTTTGCTCAGGAGCAATCTATCCCCGGTTGTCATCCCTTTACAGCCCAGGAGCTGATATTCAACTGTCCTCCTGCTGGTCTTGCTCTTCCGATTGTTGGGGTTCCAAGCTCGTTTTTGAGCGTTCGACTAGCTGGATCAATGACTGCATCCTAGTGTTCACTTGCTTTGAAGCTCTGAGCAATGTGTCGCTCTCAATTGTCGAGAAAATGTTCTGTGCCTCCAGCAGGGCTGCTTCTATCGCACTTATGTCGTTGAGCGATGCAAAGTGTTCAGCCTCACGGATGGCATTCAGACCTCTCTCGTAATCTAAGAATGATTGCTTGAGATTCTCCAAACTCCGCTCATGATCCTCATCGCTCTGTGCAACGAAGCTGGGGTATCGTGCCAGGAGCAGCAAGAACTGATGTTGCAGCATCTCGAGCTCGAGGTTGAATGCATTTGCTTCTGCTTCCTTGGGGTCTGGAATCAAAGAATTGCACACACTCTTCAGGACAAAGAAGCGCGTTACCTTGTCGTTGAACATGCCATAGGCCTCCAACAGGTTGAGAAAGCCTTGTGATGTAAGAACGGTGTCCCCAAATGGAGAAGTAGAAGCAAACCTTGCATACAAGGATGCAAAGTAATCGTCTGATTTGGAGAAAACAGTCCTCTTGATGGCAACAGAATTGAAACGTCCAGCAAGACGCGCTGCCACAGGGAAAACATTGCGAAACAGACAGAAAGACAGCCGATCGTTCAAACTCGCAATCTCTGGATACTTGAAATGTGAAATCCTCACGATGCTCTCCAGAAACTCGGAGAATACAAATTTCCTGTCGGCTCGATGAGCAAGCTGCACGTTGACTCCAGCCTCTTTCAGATCTTCCAATCTCGGGATCTGAATGCTCAAAAAACCAAACGCAAACTCGAAGCCATGTTTGACTTTGAGCAGGACTCTATCCGCCTCAGCAAGCGAAAGCTTCGCATCAATCAGACTGCATGCCTCCAGGAAAGTCCAAAGTTGTTTTAGTGTAATTTCTTTCCCGCTTACTGCGTAAAGTTCGGCAAGTTGCCTCTTCTGTCGTGCAAGGAATTCTTCAGCAAGTGGGTTGCGTGAGAGCTGGTGCTTGGTTTCCATGTCATCTTCAAATTCAGAGCCTGCGGATTCGTCTTCCAACTCGGAGAAAAAGTTGAAGACTATCCTGAGCTCACTGAGGTAAGAGAACAACAGCTTTTTCACACCAGTCATCTCCCGAGAGATATCTTGAAGGCTCTCAGACAGATCTTCCAACTGTAGGCGGATGGAATGCTCTCTATTCTCATGCTTCATCACAAAAACGTCTTGTGATGAGTCGGATACTGTATGTCCCTCGACGAAAGTAGCCTGCTGCTGGACTCCAACAGATGAAATGATGGTGCCTTTGCCGTGTTTGAGATTTGCATTCCAATCCCCGACATACCTCGACCCATCTGCATAGGAGAATATCCCGAAGCCATGCCTCTGGTTCTCTGCAAACTGACCAACATACTGGTTGAAGACTGCAAGATTCTTGTTGACCTCAACATCAGATAACCACAAGTATCTCCCCATACCATGCAGCTTGTCTGCCTTCCATTCGCCTATGTAGATCTCATTCCTGTCCATCCACTGCATTCTTCCTTGTCCTTCCCGGCAATTTTGAACAAACTCGCCGACATAAACATTCCCTGTACTCCATTGCATCGTTCCCTTCCCGCTCTTTGCACCTTCCTTCCACTCACCCTCGTACCACTGATCCTGTCGGTTCCCGTACGTCATTTTCCCCCAGCCGTGTCGTTTCCCTTCGAACCATCCTCCGTCATAGTGTGATCGTGCCTCGCCGTTGGACCCGACGACAAAAAATTCTCCTGAACCATGGCGTTTCCCTTCCCGGACACTACCGAGGTAGTAGTCGCCGTTGGGCCATTCGAGCTTTCCTTTACCTGTCGCCATGTTCTTGTTCACTTCTCCTTGATATCGCAGCCTACTCGGCCATTCGATTTCTCCGTTTCCATGCATGTCACCATGCACAAATGTTCCCTTGTACACAAGGCCGTTCGTCAGAGACGCTGTACCGCTGCCATGCCACTTTCCAAGCTTGTCAACTTCTCCCTCGTAAGATTCCACAATACCCAGAGAGGTGATGACTTCCTACACAAAAGCAGTCAGTCTGTCTTGCCCAGTGCTTTTGCGCACTCAGATACCTTCTTCGATGTTATCATGAATGGCATGCTGATGTCTGATACAAGATCGAGTCCCGGTCTCAGCACATTTTCTCCTCCAGTTTGCTGGGCCAATATTGGCCATCCGGAAGAATCCTGCACCAGGATCTCATCAAGCAAGCAAGGTTCTGTTCCTTTTTAGGAAACAAATGCATTTCTTACATGTGTGGCCAACCTAGCTTTCAAAGCCTTCGCTCTCCGCCTGCATCGATGTCCTCTAGCGCACTTGCTGATCTTGCATGATGCTTGCAGAATTTCATCTTCTGAATAGATGACCTTTGCTTGCTTTACCTCCTCAACATTTTCGCTATCGTCTGAGTACAAGAAGTTTTCAGTACGACACTTCAAATTTCACAGTGATGTGTGTGGCATCATGGCAAATTTCAACTGTACTCCTCCGCCGTGCCAAATGTGCGGCCCTGGAGTCGACGGTCTCATCTTGAAGGCTCTAGCTAGGCTCCCTAGAACTATCAGTCGACTGACTGGCTGGCAATTTGCATGGGATCATCGGATCCCAATCATGGCATTAGGCTCAGTAAACTTTCTATCACACTGAGTGAGGTGCTTCAGGCCACAGTGCCTCAGGTTCAGGTGACCGGTGACGGTCATGCCCAGTCACGTCAAGCTCAGCCGCTCTCGTACCTTCAGGTTCCATGGGCTCGTTCACTTCAAGTTGGGTCGTCCACCGGCTGTCTGTTTGACGTTTCCGTTGACCGTCCGACTCGCTGAGTTAGCGCAGGATGGTACGGCCGGTGCCGACGGCCCACGGTGACACGCCCGGTGACGCCGGGTCACGGGTCGCCCGGGCCGGCCGGCCCAGCCCAGTCACTGTGCCGGCAGGTCGGAGCCCCGGTCCGATCCAGGCGGGGCCGCATCTTCAGTCTTGCCGTGCCGCCCTCTGCCCAGCCTCCCTGACCGTCTGTGAGTCGGACTCCGGGAGGCCCGGGCCGCGGTCCGGAGGCCGCTGGGCCCGTTCCGAAGGGCCCCCCGGGGCCCGGCCCGTTCAAGCCTGCCCCCCGGTCCGAGTTGGAGGGGGAAAGGGGAGGCGGGAAGAGAGAGGGGTGGCTAGGATTAATCTGAGTGAGGTCGTATTTGATTATGATTTCCACGAAATATTCAATTCTCAGCATC